GCCAAGGCCTGGGACCTTTTGACAACCTGATCCTCGCTGACTCTCGCACATGCCATGCTCGCTCCATACTCCACTTGTCATTTCCCTTTCCCGTCCCAAGTCTTCACACACCTCACCTTCTCCTTGTTCCACTGGACAAGATGATCTGCTTCTGACAAGCCCTCCTTGTACTGTCTCTACGTGTCTTGTCGTGATCGTGATGCCTGGTATGCTCGTCCACCAGGTCCTCCGTCAGATGCACCCCTGACCCTTATCATGCAGCGGCATCATCCCTCAATAATGTCTTAATATTGTTGCCATTTGAAGAGGTTGTATATTCACATAATCCAATTAACCTAAGAGGTGATGAAATGGTAACCCTACAAATTCCTAACCTAACATATACAAATGCTAACTTATCAAACTTTGGAGGTATTCAAAATAATTCTATTGTTTGTACATTACTTATGAGATATGAAAGCACAGATGATACATTTAATTTTAGGTTACAGAATACAGAAATAAACACCTTAAGGTTTGTTTGTAAAAATCAAGACTTAGAAGATATTGATGTTGGAGATTATACTTTAAGCCTTGAAATTCAAATACACGAGGTTAATAATATTGATACAAAACTTAATAAAATTGAAAGATTGCTTTCTGACATATTCTTATCACAATGGGAGAAGAAGAAAAATTAAAAATCTTGTTTTTTATTTCTTAGTATTTAATTAAAAGAAAAAATGCTAGGTGCTTTAATTGGAGGTGCTGTATCCTTTGGGATGCGTTATTTGCCAAAAATTGGTCGTGCTCTTGGAACTATCGGAGACGGTGCTCGGAAACTCGGAGAGCTTAACACACAAGCGAGAAAGATTGGAAGCTTTGCAAATACTGTAACAGGTGGAGCTTTAACAAAATCACCATTAGGGCAGAAGATAAATGAAGCTAGTAAGATAGTCGAACAAGGAACATCAGAAGTAAGTAAATTTACAGATAATGCGCAGCAAAAAGCTGACCAGTTCAAAAGTACTTTAAATAGAATGACAGGACGGACGGAAGGCTATGTATAACAAAATATATATTTTAGACTTATAAATAATGGAACCTCAACAACTAAGACGAGCATCATCAACAACAACCGTAAATCTTTGTACTAAATATAAAGATTATTGTTATGTTATGTCTGTTCTTTGTAATAGAGCTGGAGCTTACTATGCTTTTATAAAGCAAATATTCTTAGTAATATTAATAATTCCGAGTTCTTCAATGGCTATTATCAATGGAGCGTTTAACGAGACAGCACTTAAGCCAGTTAATATAATAGTTAATGCTATTGTTGCTGTCCTTATAGCTATACAAAATACTTTAAAAATAGCTGAGAGAGCTGATATGTTCAATCATATGAGTATAAAATTTTTGAAGTTGAATAGTGAAATTGAAACATCAATATCAAACAATACTTTAAATAATGAACATCTTAATTCAATTATCAATAATTATAATTCACTTATTGAACAGATAAACTTCAACTTTCCAGAGAGGATAAAGAAAGAAATAAAACAAAAATACAAAAATAAGCATTTACCACATATGTTAAATGAGGGTAATAGTCCTCCAGAATCACCACCAAATGCCGGATTGATTGTATAGATTTATATAGTCACTATATCCACCTATATACTTACCATTAATAAAAATAGCAGGATATGTTTTAATCTCATTTTTCTTCTTTATCTCATCTACCAATGAAGGGTTGAGATTTTTTATATTATGTTCTTGGTAATCTACAAGGTTATAATCTAAATGACTTTTTAGCAACGTACAATAGTTACAATTATCTTTACTAATTACAACAGTACCGTCTTTTATCGTATCGTAAAAGTCCATTTAATATTTTGATATAAAAGAAAAAATGATAATAAATATTTGAATAAAGGATAAAATAAAATATACATAAAGAATAAAAATGGTTGAAGGTAATAAGATGAGCCCACAACTGGCATATTATCATAGGAAGAAACAAGACCCAGAATTTTATGAAAAAGAGATGAAAAGAATCAATGAGAACAACAAGAGAAGATATAGAGAAAATGAAGAAGCAAGGGAACGATTGAAAGAACAAGCAAGACAGAGATATTATAGATTAAAGGAATCATTAAAGCAATCAGCAAAGTAGATATAATGTAACAAGTAAGAAGGGGGCTTTATAGCCCCTTTTTTGCGTTACGTAGAAAAAATGATATAAAGAATAAAAAATGATAAAGAATAAAAAAGTATATAAAGAGTAAAAAAATAATATATCCTATAAAATAAAAGGATGGCAGATATTAACATGGATGTTTCCAAAACTAAGAAGTACATATTTAAATACCTTGGTGAGAAGGTTGATTATCGCCGTGGTGAATGGCGAGACCTCACACCAC